GGACTAGCTCAGGTTGGGTTCCGGGAGCCGATCGCTTCTCGAGGCGGCAGTGTTACCGTCACCTTTATTACATATTCAGCTTTTTATAGCTTTTATTATTATTAGTGTCTTAGCCTATAAGAGAGTGTTAAGATATAAGAGGTAGGCTTACTACTTAGTTAGCCTATCGTACTACTAGTATCTTTCATTATTATTCTGTTATAGTAGATACCTTTATACCGAATCTATACACTCTATATCAATTTTAATCTAGTATGTCCCCAAATTTAACTGAGATACTGCGGTCAGACACTAGCTTTCACGTAAGCAGTGCTGAAAGAGCAACTTAAATAAGATTCTCAGATCAACCTTCTAAGCAGAAATGGTACTCAAGTGAGCAGAAAAAAAAAACGGAAAGTGAGAACCAAGTACTGACAGAGAGAAGCCCATCTCCACATTTCCCCAGATTTTTGGTCCGCGGAGATTGTGGAGAAGCCCAAAACATCCGCCCCCAGCCGAAGTAACCAAGTACCCTTCCCCTCCTTGATCTCTTCCTTTTTTCCAATGGAACATCACTCTAGTGGCGACTAGCGACGCAACCATGGCCTGCCTTTGAATCTTGGTACTCGGGGGCCAAACATATTGGAATATGTTGCAAGGTCATAGCCAGCTCAAAGTGATATTTCTGATTGTTCTTCCTTTGCGACCGCATACCTCCTTCAACAAGTTCTAGAATGCGTAGTGCCTTTATTTTTCTCGACTTGTTTGGGCTCAGAACTGGACGCCTTGTGTTATCGGAGAACCGGATTTCCGACCCTTGTGTTTTCAAGGGCCAATGACAATCACTTCGGGAGTTCGGATGGCGCACTCAAGCCTTGGGTTGAGATCAGCCCAAGTACTCCGTACCCTCAGCCATGGCGCCCCTAGCGTCATAAGGGTCGTTTTTATGACTAGGGGCAGCTTCTATTTCCACTGTTTCAAGAAGTAGCTCTATTGTGGTTGGGCCCACCATCATGCTTGATTATGGGATTCCCCGCAACGTGACATCGGTGGGTGGAGACAAGATTCGTATCTGCTTTGAGCAAAAGTGCCACTAGCAGGATTATTCGTGACTGCATTGTTGAATGATGACTGGGGTTCAGGAGTCTGAGCTTTTACCAGTGACAGTTCCCCTTTTCCTCTTCTTCCCTTCACATCACCGTGTCGCCTCTCAACTATCACCCCTCGCCATTTTGTATCTATAAGTTTAGAGGCTCGATATACTCTACAAGCAATCCACGAAAATGTCTGAGACATATCGCGCTCCGATCCAAAGCGATCACTCAACTACTAAATATGACGATGGTCTCAGTGCCGCCGAAAAACAGCACATCGAGCGAGCGCCCGCAGAATCTGACAATCCTTTCGGAGATGAGGAGTACGCAGAAGTCAGATATCGCACTCTACACTGGTGGTTCGTATTTCAGCCTCGTAAATTGTCCCAATATTTCTAATGGAATTCTCGATGCAGGCAATGTGGAATGAGTACGTATCTCGAATCCGGCCGAGGCCCAACCTTTGAGTCGCGGTCCTTTCTTCGCAGCCCTCTTTCTTTTCTAACACAAAAGCCCTTCAACAGTTATGATCGCAGAAACCATTTCTCTAGGAATTCTTTCCTTTCCTTCAGCAGTCGCTACACTAGGTCTTGCTCCGTGAGTGAACACCGGTCTACTATGATGCAACTATTCTAGACGCTTCCTCACACAACGCTAGCGCGATCATTTTGATCGTGGGATTAGGTCTATTGGCCACATACACAGGATACACCTTGGGTCAATTCAAGCTCCACTACCCACAAGTACACTCTATGGGGGATGCCGGAGAGATCCTTTTCGGAAAAATCGGTCTCCCACGATTCGGCCGTGAATTCCTCGGCACTGCGCAACTGCTGTTCCTTGTTTTCATCATGGGAAGTCATATTCTAACATTTACGGTAATGATGAATACTCTCACGGGACATGGTACTTGTTCAATTGTGTTTGGTGTGGTCGGCATGATAATTTCCTTTATTTTTGCCGTCCCAAGAACACTGCGCAAGGTCTCGTGGTTCTCATTTGCGTGTCAGTGACCCCTAAAGAATTACTCAAAATCAGAGTCTAACAACTTCGTAGCGTTCGCAAGTATCATGTCGTAAGATCAAGAGAGTCGAAATTACTTCGCAAGCTGACCTCCTTGACAGTGCTGTTCTCATAACAATGATCGCTATCGCTATCCAACGCCCTGGGGATGGAAAGATTGACGCCACTACCAAGATCGATGTTGCGACTGGATTCCTCGCAGTGACGAATATTGTATTCGCATATGGTATGATTTACCTTCCCTAATTCCCATCCCATAAATCATACTAAAGGAGCGCAACTAGCTGGCCATGTGGCTTTCTTCGGCTTCATCTCAGAGATGCAAATCCCGACCGACTACCCCAAGACATTGTATTTACTCCAGGGAACCGACACGACCATGTACACAGTAGCTGCCATTGTGATTTACATCTATGGCGGGAAGGATGTGAAATCTCCTGCTCTCAGCTCTACTAGTCCCATCACTGCCAAAATCGCCTATGGAATCGCCATCCCGACTGTAAGTGTGACACCGAAGCAATTATATTCGTCCTGTTCATACTACTGACAAACTCGCCAGATCGTCATCGCTGGTGTAATCAATGGCCATGTTGCAGCCAAGTATCTTTACGTTCGCGTCTTCCGAGGAACAAATCATATGCAGAAGCGAAGCTTTCGGTCAATTGGAGCATGGGTGGGAATCAGTCTCGTACTGTGGATCATCGCATGGATCATTGCGGAGGCTATACCCGTTTTCAACGATCTTCTCAGTCTCATAGTAAGTGTCGTTTGAATAATCAGCAAAAGAAATTACTTGCCAATACTAACTGGCTTCCGCCTCCCCAGACGGCGCTTTTCGCGAGCTGGTTTACTTGTGAGTCGCGCCACGGCTATCAAAATGATACTCGGGGGTTTCATCTCAACTAACATAGTTCCAGATGGTCTGAGTGGCATATTCTGGCTATTCCTCAATTTCGGTCGGTATGGCGAAAATTGGAAGAAAATGTGCCTAACTTGTCTCAATTTGGTGATTATCGCGATCGGCGGTTGTCTCGTAAGTACCCAATGTGAAAATCCTGCAATACTAAACTAACGTAAATCCAGTGTGGAATGGGTCTCTGGGTATCTGGAAAAGCTATTAATGCAGATTCCGGCAATGCCAGTTTCTCATGCGCAGATTCTAGTAGTTGATTCTTTCCCAGTTAGACTTCTGATGGGGTTGTATTTGGCTATCTTCAATTCAGGTTTCAAAAAATAGCTGACAAGGCGTGCTTTAATTTTCGAATTCAATTTTACCTCCATTCACGTCGGTCCGCCGGGATTATTTATTTGACATTTTCTTGGCGATGTTTCAACAGGCCAAATGTTTCAGAGTCGTAGACGTGAGACTTTCTCGGCCCGTGCTCCTTTGGGAAGACTGGCCGGCGATCACACAGGGGGAAGTAATTAAGCTCGTCCACAATAAGTATTTTATGAAGCAATATAAGACGTCAAATTGTTTCGCGATGCGCCAAGGACTCCACTACGGTCTGCTGTCAGAAAGCTCCCCGTTTCATATTCAGAGTCCCGCTCGAAGGAAGAGAGATATAAGGCCGGGTTGAAAGGAAAGGGTAGTTAATTGCACTTCATCTCTCATCGGTCACTCTTTGGAAACTCACTCGTCAACATGAAGTACTTTCTTTGGGCTGTCATGCCCATTGCGGCAGAGTGTGGGGAGGTGTTGTGGAGTGGCTTCTTCAATTCGTCGTCCACAGTCAAAGAATTTGATGAATGTAAGCAAGCTCACATATCGAGTTGGAAAATCCTATTCTAACTAAGCAGGGTCTTGGTCCAACCAAATCGGCGATTTTCAGTGGTACATTCACGGCGATGGAGAGACCAGCGATTATCTTGGCCTGTCAGAAGGATTCAAGAACCCGGCAGATAAAAGTGACGAGCAGGGGATCCGAATCACAATTGTACGATCCTTAAAAAATCCATTGGACAAAAGCAATATACTAACTTCGGTAGGATGGAACATCGTCCTGGAACGGCCAAACCATGATGCGTAGCGAGCTGATTCCTCAAACACAAGAGGATCTCGGCAGTGGTCATTTATTCTATCATTTCTCACTCTCCACGAACGAAACAAACGCCCCGAACCCGAAATTCGAACATCAGATCGCATTTTTCGAGGTGGGTAACAATCGCAGAGGATTAAAAGGGCGCACATTAATCACCTCCATAGAGCCATTTCACAGAACTCAAATACGGTTTACTCAGCGGCGACTCGGCCGCAAAGGACAACACCCTTCGCTGGTGTGTGAGCAGCGAAACACACTGGTCAACTGAGCTGCAGGCCGGCCATTGGTACAACTTCGCCTACGACATTGATTTCGACGCGCAGACGGTCGGCCTGTGGGCCTCCAACGGGACCGATGCGCTCACACAGGTCGTAAAGGGAGTCAGCGCTTCCACTTCGACCAATTCGGCCGACTTCCATATTGGACAATTGCGACTTGATAACGGCGGCACTGACAAAGCTGCAGAGGATTGGTTCTGGTCTGGAATCTTTGTGGAGAAGGCTCCGATTTCCACAAGCGTTGCGGGTCCGCTGGCAGAGTAGAGTGTCGATCATCGACATCCATAGCGACAACACCCCTGTATAGGATATGATTAGCTTAGTCTAACCCTACTCTATGTAAACACGTTCCTATATGATCAAAATTGTCTACAGGCTCGGCTTGCCGAGCTAATCCCAGTCACGCTGAGCGGCAACCCGATGTGACGATCGGGTTTTAGCACTGCGGGGCATCTTCGGGGAAACAAACAAGATAAGCTAATTCAGTATGATATCATTCTGCGACCGAAACCCAGTTGGGTTCGAAGAACCTGCTTCGACCCGGCAAAGACAGGTTTTTCTTTTTTATTATGTACATGAATTATTTACCGGACGGTGTATCCTCCGTCAATGATCAGATCGTTACCGGTCATGTAGGTGCTAGCATCACTGACGAGGTAAACATAGGCACCCTTAAGCTCCTTAGCCTGACCGTTGCGACCCATGGGGATCATGGAGTTCCACAGGTCCTGGATCTTCTGGTCCACGAAGTCGGACAGACCGGTGTCAATGTATCCCGGGAGATGCTGTTAACGCGAGCGAAGTCACGCCACTCGTTGGCAAGGGAGCGAGCCATGTGAATGCAGCCAGCCTTGGCGACGTTGTAGGAGGTTTGCTCCTGAGGGAAGTTGGCGATGTGACCGGACATGGAAGAGGTGATGACGAAGGAGCCAGTGCCGCGCTCCTTGAAGTGAGCGCCGACAGCCTTGGCGCAGTGGAAAGTGCCGTTCAGGTCGGTCTGGATGACCTCCTCCCAGTCACTGACGGAGCCATCGAGGACACCGGAGTTGGCGGTGCGGCCAGCATTGGCGATGAAGGCATCGATCTTGCCGAAGTCCTTAATGACCGACTTGACGAAGCCATCCACGCTCTCCCAGTTACCGACATCACACTTGTAGGCCTTGACCTTGACACCATACTGCTCGGACAGGTCCTTTGCGTTCTTTTCGCCGCCTTCGGGTCGTGAGGAGTAGGTGATGGCCAGATCGGCGCCCATCTCGGCGCAGCCGCGGGCGGCCTCGATACCCATGCCGCGAGGGCCGGAAGCACCGGTCACAACGACGACCTTGCCCTTGAGGCTAAGAAGGTCCTTGAGACTGTCGGGCTTGGGAACTGGAATAGGCATTTTGGTTGGTGGAGGGTTGTAGTATAGAAAAGAGAAGAATTGAGTTGGAGGGGCGGGTTGATTCTGCGAGAGTTTAGGCCGTAGAGGGGGGTGGTTGAGGGGAATAAATACTAGTTTACAACAAAGCTCGGTGAAGCTCCCAAGGTTCGTCGGTTATCTATGCCTTGTTCTCCCCCTCCTCTGCCCCTCCAAACCCTTGGCTGACCATGACGGCATAAGTGACAGATCCTGGTTGCCATGCTTCATTGTGATACGCTCTCCACTGTAGAACCTGCTGCGCTTGGGGCCGAGCTAGGCCTGTCGTATTGCCCCTCACCTGCATTAACTTCGATTCGTGGGAAGCCCCCCATTTCCATTTCCATTTCCATTTTCAACTTTCGAAGAAGTGCGTGGAATGTAGGGGGGATTGACTTTGTTTGGCCAGTTCGGATGACATCGGACCATGATGTCATGACTACTTATCAAGCCGTCGGTCCACTCGTTGACGTAGAACTGGAGCTTTGGAGCTCCACCAGAGTTATCGGCATGCCGGTGATGATTAATTTTTACGAGATAATTTGGGGCAATGGTCAGACCACACTCGGCTCGATGCCGAAGATGCAATGGTGTGACAACTGTCCAAGCAGGAACAATCATACTGTACTCGTGCTAACTAATTAATTGTCTTATCGCGCGTTGCGGGCGATCGCCCCACCGCAATCCAACAAAAGATGGGGTAACAGACCTCGCGTATGTATGAAAAGATAAATCCGGCGGTGAACGCCAAGGGGGGAAACTACCAATCCCCAGACTAAATCGCAGCCAGGGATAAATTTAGTTTTAGCCGGGCGGAATCCCAGTAAGCATCTTCCCATCTACCTATCATTGAAAGGGGTGGCTGAAAAGCAGTGATCTAGACCTAGTATAGTGAGTCAAACGACATGGGCGGCATGAACTTATTTCAAAAGGGACTTGAATGCACACCGCTCAATCTTTCCATTGCATCTGGGATTGGCATAATGGATTTGAAGATGATGGATGATGGATGATGGAACAAACGGGGATTCCTTTTCCTGTCTCCATCATTGAACCGCCAACGCTCATCCCAGACCCAGAGGGATCCACACCCCAGCCATGACGCTTAGACAGGGACAAACGGTATGCTCGTTAAGTCAGCCAATTTCAGGACTTTTTTGAATATGACCTGTCGTTTCCCGGGGTGCAGACTAGTTGCATTATACCATTGCACTAGTGCGGTCTCGATACGATGGATGAATCAGATTCCCAATTGCCGCCTCAAGTGCCTCCCCAGGTGCCAGCGCAGAGAATCCGCCATTCTCGTGTTGGATCTACTGGTCAAGTTCTACATAGATCTTCTACTACGAGCACGCTTCATCATAATTCATTCAAAGACTCCTTCTTTTCTAGGTATGGCATATTGGCACGAAAGGTTCAGATTGGAAGACCAGGCTCTAACATAAAGTTTTTTTCTTGGCAGAGTTCACTCCTTCTTCCATCGGGATTCGCATATTGGGCATGTCGGGCAGCATCCCCTGCGAGACAAGGAACATGTCGAGATCCATACATGGGATGGTCCCAATGACCCCGACAATCCGTCAGTTCTTTGGGTTACCACCTCATTTTAGTAGAAACTGACAATCGCAGTTTCAATTGGAGCAAGACATACAAATGGGTGCTAACCATCACAATCTGTTTCATGTACGTAAATTTATCTCAACTGGAGAGAGGTCCACAGATGCAATTGTCCCTTTGACTGACCGCTCCTAGCTCCATTTTGACAGGTCTACCAGCTGGGTCATATGGCGCCGGAAACAACTACATGGCAGAGCGATTTCATGTACAGAATGAGCCCTTCCCTAATTTGGCCTGGGCTACTACATCTTGGAATATGGGGGCAGCGTTTTGGCCTCTGATCTTCGTCCCGCTCACAGAGTCATCTGGGCGCATGCCGGGGTACTTTGTATCCTACTTTCTGCTAGTGGTCTCGCTATTCCCATCGGCATTTGCGCAGAATTTTGCGACGCTTGTTGTCACCCGCTTTTTCGGGGGTGGGGCATCTTCTGTGTCGATTAATATCGTGGGTGGGAGTATCAGCGATGTTTGGTATGGCGACAGGGCCCGGAGTTTGCCAATGTCATTGTTCGGCTTCACGAGTGTGGTTGGAATCGCTCTCGGGCCATTTGTCGGTTCGGCTATCCAACAGATCCATAAGAATGATCCCTGGAGATGGTAAGGGGAACCAAAGGATTCTATAATTAGATTCCGCTGACCATAAGCAGGATATTCTATATTCAAATTATCTACAATGCAGCGTTGATCCCGGTCTTTTACCTTATCCTCCGCGAAACCCGAGCTGATGTCATCCTACGAAAACGCGCCAAGAAGCTTCGCTGGGAGACTGGCCGACCAATCTACTCAGAATCTGAACTTAATACGACTAGTTTGTTAAAGCTAGTGCAAGTTTCGTTTGAACGACCCACGCGAATGCTTTTAACCGAGCCTGTTGTTATATTTTTCACACTATGGGTCAGCTTCGCATGGGGAATTCTGTTCCTTTCTTCTCTAGCGTGAGTCAGACATTCAGTCACAATTATGGATGGGGCACGTTTACTACCGGTCTCGTTCAACTTGCGATTTCCGTGGGGGCCGTGATCGGTACCGTGATAAATCCCCTTCAAGATTGGATCTATCTCAGCTCTGCGAAACGCAACCGCGACAATCCTGGTAGGCCGATTCCAGAGGCTCGTCTGTACACGTCGATTCCAGGAAGTCTTCTCTTCGCAGGGGGACTATTTTGGTACGGCTGGGGCAGCGTGGGCAACGGCTCAATTCACTGGATTGTTCCCACTCTGGGTATTGGCTGCACCGGGGTGGGAATTTATTCGATATATATGGCCGTGGTCAACTATCTCACTGATGCGTATGAGAAATACGCGGCATCAGCATTGTCGGCCGCCTCATTGGGTCGCAATACCTTTGGTGCCTTCCTTCCACTCGCCTCCTATCAGCTTTTCGAGACCCTCGGTTATGGATGGGCAGGCTCGCTATTGGGCTTTGTCGGCGTGGCTCTCTCGGTCGTTCCTGTAGTCCTAGTTCTCAAGGGACCTGAAATCAGACGTCGCAGCCCATTCATGAGGGAGTCCATGTTTGACCCAGAACACTTAGAGGACAGTACCAGTTTGGAGGGGGCCATTTCCGAGGTGGATCAGAAGCCGGAGGAGGCGGAAGTATAATAGACTGAAGTAATAAGCTCTATTACAGCTTGATGGGACGATTTAGTCGTAATCTCTATCTACAATTTTTCTAAATGGGGGTGGCGTCAACATACTAGGAAATGAGGCCAAATATATTATTCAATTTCTCAAGCTTTTCTATCTCCATAACTTCAAGTCATCACCAGCTCTCGGATCGTCATCTAGTCGCAATATATAGCTTTTCCATTGAATGGAGAGTCGAATACCATCGGAAAGACATCTAGATTCGACTTGGAATCACCCGTGCATTTGTCGTTGCTAATCTAATGTAAGGAAAGATAACTTTCGAATTAACCACCTGGGCACGGACAGCTACTCACCTATATATCCTGCAACTGTCCCAAGCAGCGACCCAGCCAACATCGCCACTAAATCCTTCAATGTTAGCCCGTGTCAAATATGAAGTCTTCTCCAAGCGTCAAATCAACTCACGGGTGGGTTAACTTGGTGCATTGTTTTTCGTGTATTCTTTGATAATGGCAGTTCGAAGGGTAATGGCCATTACAGTATTGAATCTTTTTATCAATTAGCACTCGATGGTTACTTTTCATCCTAATTTGCCGCTACTTACCATTGAATGATCTCCGAATGGGAAGAATGGGATTGCCAAGCTACTACTGGCAAAAATACCAAGACTTGTGATAAGAGAGACTTTAGAGAACATTTTCAATGTTTGCTCAATATTTCCAAGATTTAAGGTAGCTGTATTGCGTTAATGCTGCAAAATTCCAAGGTCGATAACCCGATCATACAGGTAGTACTAGTGCTAGTACCTAGTATTCAGAAAACCCGAAGAGATTCTCGAAATTGTTGGTGTTACGAGCATTATATATAGTAGCCCTCCAGGTCTAGCAGCCCTGGGTATCCCCAGGCCGTAGTAGTAGTGTCAAAATGCCGATCTCGAGGTTCTCAATCCAACTAGCCACCCAATGATGTACAGAGTACCGACAAAGGAGAGATTTCGCTTATTATGGGAAGTAGTCTCGTGATGCATTTGAGCTCCCATCCGTCCTGGACACGATCCGGGAGTGCCACCAGATCCAGCTGCCAAGGGCCCGCAAAGTGAAAGATGAGATGCCACTGGCTAGTATTAACGACATGGTAAAGCTGTACCACTCTGGAGTGCCTTTTTTGGCCAAATACCATCTGATTAACGGTCAAGATTTTAATTCCACGAATTCCGGCGGGCTGTCTAGTAGTACAGATGGACGTGGCACTAAAATGTCGAGAAAAACAAGTCCCAGGAGTCGGAATGATTTATTTTTCATTTTAGTGATCGTCTCATCCGTCGCAGAATTTTCCTGGGTTTGCAGCTAAACTGCCAGAGACAATGAAGCGGAGGAGTGAAGTGTCTCACCATTCCAAGGGTACTTCACCACACAGACAATTAGGCAGCAATCAGTATCAATGTCAAGGATCACTGCCTTTCAAGCTTCGAGTTACAGATTTTAGCGTGTTAGCAACGATACATGTCGTAATATGTCCATGGAAACGCCGACCTTCAACCCAATCAAGAGAGAGCCTTGTTTTCGGCTTTCATTAGTCGACTTTCTAATAACGAATGTCCTACTGAAGGTGAAATAATGCCTTTATAATTGCGACCGATCTCGATTCATCGATGGAATAAAAAAATATGATATTTAGAGATAGTATCGAGGCTTTAAAACTCAATGCCTTGTTTGCGGTGTATTTCATTGGGACAAAGCATGAGCAATCCGTCAAATCGTTTCTTCGCAGACCTTAATCATTACTATTATGATAGTATATTCACGGGTTTTCCATGCTGCAAGTATGTAGTAGAGTAGCCCAGAGAAACGAAGGCCCTCGGGACATCAACCCATTGATCCTGGTCTTTAACCGCAATCTGCCATTCTGGATCGGACATGATATTCTTGATGGTTTCGACATCAGGTAGTGTATATTCAATAAAACAGTCGCATTCGGCAAAATCCCAGGTTGGCCTAAGACCTCCGATTTCTTGTTTCAAGCCATCATTTAGAGGTGGTGGCGTAACGAACTAGATATCGTATTTAGTTATCGCTAGATGACTTCGCAGGGATGCAGAGGAATCTACACACAAGAGAATAATCTATGACCCCATATTTCTCAAAGACTGGAATTGCGAGAGGTAAATGCTCCTTGACTATCCAATCGATGAATGCCTCATGGGTATGATGTGGTAGACGGTGGTGAGTGATTGTGAATTTAACAGGCGGGGCTCCAGTAGTTGCAGACATCTTGGTGTTTATGTGTTACAAAAGGGTCTTTCTGGATGGAACAGGCCGGAATTGTTTTAAATATCAAGTTTGGGTGGCTTGGGAATTGAGGGTTGATCTGACGTCAGCGCGATATTTGGGGTCACTGATTTACAGATTTAGGCCCCCCTGTTATGAGCGTCACGACCGTTTTGGTTCGATTTGGGGGCCAGCGTTACATTCTTCTCGTATAGAATTGAACATAGCAGTTATCTACAAGCTGAATGACTAGTAGTAGTCCTTAAGTACCCCAGGCACCGTCACTTGCTAAGTTTGTACCTTTTCTTCTACCTTAATTTTCTATATATTCTAGGAAGTGGTTGACGCTCCACATCCTGAAATCATAGCATGTATTTAATTCAGAAAATGTAAATCGTGGATCAATCCGCGTGTCAATCCATGGTCACCAATACCGGCTCGAGTCGACCCACAGAATATCACCCACATCAGTTGAATCGCGAAATTCTCTGGTGAACTGGATTCTGTACTCCACGCAGTTCTCCAGCATAGTTTGCTTGACACAAGGATGAATTCGACACCTGCTAAAATGCATGTACTCATCGGGGTGACATTTATCGCTCTTTATTTCGAAATGAGCGTCCAAGTGCGGACAGAGCATGATTCTTCAGGCAGGTTCCTTGACGTCAAACGGTTTCGCAGTGACGAATGAGTAGTCAAAATTAAATATGGCTAGACCCCGCACGTCGATAGACACGGATATCGATGGCTTATATGCTATCCCAGTGCCCGAAAACTCGCATTTATGCCAATCCCGTATGTGCTTTTTGATACTAGGTTCCAAGCAGCTTGTGCTAGGAGATCTTTCAAGAACGTCGAAGACTTTAGACAATTCCTTGGGTCGGAATCAAAGACAAGGGCAGAGTATGATTAGACCGGGCGACATGCCGTTTCCTATTTCTTCGCCCGGGAAGCTTGGACTTCTGAACTCTTTGGGTGGGTGATGCATCAGACAGCCATAGCAAGCTTTCCAATGGGTTGTTTCTCGAATTTGGTCAAAAGGTCCAGTCGAGTTTGGCAATTTCCATAGTCAGGTCCATCCGAATATGGATATTGGAAAGCGGGTGCCTTCAGTATGTATTTATATCGCCGATAGATGTTCTTGCAGCTAATGACTAGGGATACCTGGGATAGTTGCGAGAGGTATGAAAGGATAATATGTATCAGCTCTGAGGGCAGATCGGCGATCCATCGGTTTTCTCCTGGGTTATTCATAATCAAGGAACGGGGTGAAGGGGTCGCCTTAGAAGAAGTCATGTTGTTAAAATGGGCCATGAATCTTGGAATGTTCAAATACGTAGGGGACTCGGAGGTGAAAAAGCCGGGGACAATCGTCGAGTGGTCGAATGATATCTGATAACCACGGGCCGACGCTTAAAACAGCACCTTGTGTCTTTTTAGGACTCGGACGCTCAATGCAGAATTTGAGACCCCTTCAAGACTCTACCTGGAGGACGCTTCTACCTTAATCTCGCCTCAACTAAGGAGGCTTAAAGCAGAATTTCTTTTAGAGTGGATATACTAACACTTCACATGACTACAGCTCCCTTTTGGATTGTAGGGGATGACGAAGTTTTTCCGTTATTATGCTAGTCCAAAATAATCTGTCGTGTCAGTACTATCCTAGTATATCCTTAACCAATTACTATCAAGTTGATAATAATCTAGGCCCAGGTCTGGTGGGGGTACTTTATATCAACCGTTGCTGACGCGGTTAACATCCCGCATTCAACATGTCAGGCACCACTCTCCTTCTCCTTCTCCCTCCTCTTCAATACTATACAAATCCCGCCGGAACAAATTCCCCGCTGACAAAGACCGTGGCGGAGCAGCTTCTTTGCAAATGAGGGTTGATTGATTCGTCAGTCAGGGACGATCATTCCTCAAGGGTAAAAATGCAGTGGGGCGCATCTATTCGAGTTGGTGTCAAAATGTCCTTAACGCGTGGCGCCAAGAACATCAATGTCTACAGAGTGAGGAATTCGCCCTGGACTCGCCATTAACCGGTTTCACTACGGCCAAACGAGTGCATTCTAGATCAAATGTCGTCTTCGACGGACGGCTCTAGTCTTCAAAATGACGCGTCAAACAAACCCACGAAGTGATGGCCGCGCCGTATAAATCCCGGCTACCGGGCCCTCCTCGAGAATGAGGAATATCTCACAGCCCAAACCTTCAATTGAAACCCCATTGAACCATCCGATCCCATCATGGTTCAATTAGCCAAAGTCCTGGCTATTGCAGCTGCCTGCCTTGCCGCTCCTGTTGTCGCTCACCCCGGCGAGAAGCACGACCCGCATGTCCTGAAGCGCGAGCTCCATGTTCGCGATGCGATGGCTGCCGCTGGAAAGCGATCGCTGGGTGGTTGCGAGAGTACCCTGCATGCGCGTGAGCTGGCCAAGCGCAACGTTGCCCGTCGTTCACACACCGTTCAAAAGTTGCGCCAAAAGCGCGGCATCACCTCGAGTAAGATCACTTCATGAACACCCCATCCGACTCCGGGATCAGGCCGCTAACATCCCACAGCACCCCAGAAGTATCGCCGCAACCTAGCCGCCTTGGAGAAGTGGGAGGCGATTGACCACAACCGAACCGACGCCTACCAGCACGGCCTGATCAACCAGGAATCCATCTTCGGCGCCAACACCTCGTGTATTCTGACACCCACCGTCACCGATGGCCCCTACTACGTCTGGGGTGAAGTCG